GTGTCTGTGGAGAGAAGCAGCACAAGGCAGAATTGCATTAAACACATGGTGATCATGATGATGCTGATGATGTGTTAGATTCCCTGCCTTTGAGTAGCACTTCACAGACTGGTGTTTGTCAAAGGTGTTTGATAGTCTCTTGTGTTTTGGATGCTCCATGTCTGGGAGTTTAAATACTCTCTACCAGTTTTCTTTCATTCCTTTTTACCTTTCAAGATTTCCCTTTCTTTGGGATTCCCCCCCACCACTTTTCAGTTGATCTCTTTCTTTAATGTAAACCATCAGATAATCCAAAGGCTGAAATCAGACTTGGCTCTCTTGAATATTTAAGAAATGCAAGTGTTTCCTTTTATTTTATCCCAGATTAGAAAAATGAGAATGAAAAAATAAAAGGGATGATGGTTAGCAAAGCCCTCCATGTACTGTGTATCATGTCAGGGGATTCAAAGAAATAGAGAAAGTGTACAGGGAATCTGGACCCTTTCCTCAAGAACTTACTACCAGCTCTAAGGAGGGAGGGGGTAAAAAAAAGAAGTATTTTGTATCTGCTTATTAGGGATTCCTGCGTAACTCCTTTAAATCTGAACAACGCAGAATCTAACAAGAAGGGCAGTTCTTAGACCAGGTGGTGCTGCTTGCAAAAAGTATACTAGTGAAGTTAACAAATTTCACAGCATGTATCCAAGGATGCTGTGAAAGTAGAAATTCTACTGGAGACTGAAACAACCCCATTTGCTATGTGACTAGTAGCATTCAAGATTAGAATAACTAAGATCTGATTTTCCTTTGACCATGTTAGTATTTTTCTTTTCCAGTCTGCATCTTGCTGGGTGTTGAATGTGGAAAAGTGATCTGTTCAGTCTGTATCCAATTTCACTTTCACTTTCATAGTACAGCAGTAAGCTGTGATATTGGAATTGCCTTCACCCCTTTTCATCCACAAAAGAAAAATTACTTTCATGATTATTTAGAAAAAAGTCTAGGAATGAAACATTAGGGCATTTCCAGTCACCCTCCTTCATGTGCTGTGAGCATAATCTGAAAATTGTACCTAAACTGCTTAACATAAAGAAAGCAGTTTATGGCATGTCTCATATACATTATCCAGGACCCCTTTTAGGTGCATGCAATCCACCACACTCTCTTAGCTCACAGGGGAATTCTGATTGTGTATTTTTAGCAGACTGGTGCTGTAGGTTAGAATCAATACAAGAGTGGAACAAGTTAAAAATATAATTACTAAACAAATGCTGATGAAATATGTGGAAGTAAAGATGCATCGTGTTTATCAGCATATTTGTCTTAGCAGTACGGCACACGAATGTTGCGTTTCCTGGGAACAATTCTATAGAGCTAGAACTTGGTGAATATTATCTTAAAATGGATTAAATGTGGTTAAATGTAATTGAAAACCAAACTGAAACTTTGGGGTTTTATTTATTGTTGTGTTTCCCTTTACTGACACCCAACTATGTTTACTTGTGTTACTAAATTTACAAAGAATCCACAAGCAAACATAGATACTATTAATTTGTTTATTTGGAAACAATTGATAAATTATTTATATCAATAGTTTCTATATTTGTTTTTGATACATTTCTGCCTTGAATATTTACCTCTTGTCCTGAACAGCAAGCCTTCTACTGCTATTGCCTCCCTTCCTGATGGTTGACTTCCAAGTCACAAACAGCTTTCAAAGTGGCTTTTCTGGAAGGAATGTTTTTGTAATATAACAGTTGCACTGCATTTGCAAGACTTTCTCTTTCTGCAGATGTTTACAAGTGGCGGCAGTGTATTTCTACAAATATTTGTGAAATGCTACAGTCAGACCCAAGGTACTTCATCTTTGGGGGACAGAGAGCAAGAGAGAGAGAGCTTCATGATGGAAAGGAGGGAGATTGCCTCTAACATGTTCCTACAAAATGTGTAATTCTTGATCTCTCCACTCCCTCTCCTGGATAGGCAATGTCTTGTGCTTTCCAGTCTTCAGGAACACTTCTAGGTTCTGGGTTTCCTCTGCTCTTTGTCTATTTTCCTATGTTTTATGGCAGAGATTGAGAGAGCAATGTCCAAGTGCAAGCGTGCAATAATTTCAATTGATCAGAAATGATTGAAGCTGGGAGCATACTTCTGTACCTCAGCAAAGGAGCAGGAATCATCAGAATTCCATGGAAGTTCTGTTTGGTTTTTTTAATTCTCACAATCTGTGCTGTTTTTTGGAGGGTTGCATGCAAAATTGGCCTGCATAAGTGGAGGTTAAGGGTGTGTGGGAGCGCATCTCCCACTGTCCCGAAGAGCACGGGATGGGGAATGAAGGGGGAAGCAGCACTGGACTCTGAGAGTAGGGCAGAGGGCCTGGGAAGGGCCGATAGAGCTGCCTACCTGGGGGTCAGAGTTCCAGCAGCATTGGGGGAGCAACGGCCAGATCCTGAACAGCCTCAGGCACACTTTAAGAGCGTGTGCTGCGTGCAGGTGGGTTGCTTCCGGTATAACCAGAAGCACCGAGCTGGCTCCAGCAGAAAGCCAGCAGCCAGCTGACAGCCAGCACACCAGGGAAGACCGGCACTGGGAAGAGAGCTGGAACAACAGGGAGAGCAGGCACTCTGGGAAGAACCTGCATGCCAGGGAACACCAGCACTTGGAGCAGAGCAGGCAAAACGAGGAGAGCAGGCACACCGGGAAAAACTTGCATGTTGGGGAGAGTCAACAGCAGACTGAGAGCCAGTGAATTGAAGGTAGCTGGCTGGGAGGAAAAGGTTGGCTAAATGTAGGAAGCCAGCCCGAGGTGCATGCCAGAGTATTATTTGCCCTACTGGCTACAGCATCTCACTGCTGGCTCATATATGTACTGTGGTCTATTATTACCCCAGGTCCCTTTCATTCGTGGTGCTAGTCAGCTTGGTACCACTAAGCCTGTAGGTGTGTTGGGGTTTGCTCATCCCAAGGTGGAGCACTTTGCATTTCTCGACATTTAACTTCATCAGATTCTGATCTGCCCAACTTGCTAGCCTGTCTAGGTCCGCCTGCATCTGTAGTCTATCTTCAACCGTGACCACACTTCCCCATAATGTGGTGTTGCCCGCGAACTTGGCCAGTGAGATCTTCACCCCCACATCCAAATCTTTAATAAAGATGTTGAAAAGTACTGGACCAAGCACCAACCCCTGCAGGACACCGCTGCCCGCTCCTCACCAGGATGACACAGATCCGTTCACTATGACTCTCTGGGTCCTATCCTGCAGCCAGTTTCTCACCTACCTGACTGTCTCAGTCTGAGTTAAGCCCACAGTCCTCCAATTTTCTTGTGAGGACATTGCAGGATACTAGATCAAAGGCCTTTTGGAAGTCAAGGTATACAATGTCAACCTGCTCTCTCGTGTCCAGGTGGTGAGTTACCCGGTCATAGGAGATGGGGTTGCTAAGGCAAGACCTGCCTGGCACAAAACCACGCTGGCTGTCATTCAGAATCTTATATTCTGCAAGCTTATTGCAGATAGACTCCTCGATGAACTTTTCTAGGATTTTCCCTAGGATGGAAGTTAGGCTAATTGGCCTATAGTTACCTGGGTCCTCCCTCCTGCCTTCTTGTGGATGGGCACAACATTGGCCCTCTTCCAGTCCTCAAGGACTTCTCCAGAGTGCCACGAGTTGTGGAAGAGTTTTGCCAGGGGTTCCGCAATGACTTCGGCTAGCTCTTTCAGCACTCTTGCATGAAGATCATCCAGTCCCGCTGACTTGTATATGTCTAATTTTTTTTAATTGGTCATACACCAATACTACGGCAATAGTAGGAAGGTGATTATTCCTACCGTGCTCATCCTGTACTCTACCTGGCGTTGTTTTCCCCTTGGTCCGGTGAAAGACTGAGGCAAATAGTCATTCAGGGGGGAGCAGAAGCCAGGCAGATGCCTGCAGTCTTTGCCAGAGCTGGAGCCAGGGAGCTGAGGGGAGGGGCCAGCCTTGCTGTGGAGCAGAGAGCCCTGCCCAGCCCAGAGAGCATGCCGGGATGCTGGGGAATCTGATTTAAATTAAACCAGCAAGGGGTCTGGGACAGACATTGCATAAACAGGTTTCACCCAAATCAGTTAAGTCTAATACTACATTCAACCAGTTTGATCTCAAACCAGTTTCAGCCATTTTCAAATTGGTTTGTGTGCACTGAACATCTGTTCTGTTACAGGTTTAAACCAGCTCCTGATTACTTAAACCAGTTTATGTGTAATGTCCGTCCCTTTCCCATGCAGCTGTGGCTGGGGTCTCCATGGAGACCGGCCCCAGTCATGCACAGGGATGGCTCAGAAATGGACTTGACTACTGACCGGATCCAGCCCACGGGCCAGACTTTGCCCATCCCTATGCTAACACCTTTTACGTGTTCCAGCCGATCAGTACATCTCTCCATTCTCCCCCACCCACCCCCAAGCAGGTTCATGAGGAAAGGTCCAGTTTCCCAGTGCCCTTGTTTTGTCTTCTTGTATTCCCTATATAAATGCATTTTGGTTTCTTAGACTAGGTTCTTTGGGTAAATGTGATATCTTTTATTAGACCAGCTAAATATGACAGAGATGGAAGATATTGAACTCTTGCTTTCTCAATTGCAAATCAGCAAGAGTTTAAGACACAATTATCTGCCTCCCTTTCCTCATAGGATGACTTCTAATATTTGATCAAAGTTTAAAAGGTACCTACAGTTTTTCTTTCCATCAAAACTGGAGGGAAGAAATAAGGTGGGTGCAGCAAAGCAAGCTATTATCCTTGTCAGTGAAAAGCCAGATAGAGAGAGGTTTCCTCCTTCTGGCTCAGTGTAGAAACTGCAGGTTGAAACAACACTTTATCTTTAACAAAAGGCATGGAGGATAAGGGTGGAAAGAGGGCTTATCTTCTCAATATTTGTAAAATATGAATTTTGTCTTCCTGAGTTAGATAAATATGTTTATATTCTGCACTGCCACACACGGCAAATAACCTTCTAATGCTTTGGATGCTGTGTTGGTTTACAGTGAGGAAAGAAAAGGGAAACTGAAAGTGATTCCACCTGAAGAAAATTCCCAGAGTAGGAAAAACCTAGCAAAGGTTCCTGTACTAGGAATAAAAAGTGATGAAAGAAAACTTGTACGGTATTAAACAGAGGCATGGAGCATTCAAAACACACATCTTGGGGAGATTGCTTCAACAAGCACCACCTTGTCAGGTCCTACTCAAAGACAAGAAAGCAGCACCATCGTGATCATCATGCGTTTGCTAAAATTCTTCCTTGCGCTGCTTCTCTTCAAAGTAAGCTCCTCCCTACACTGCAACAGCCTTGCCTCTAACCAGAACAAAGTGAACAAAGATGGCTTAGACTTCTTGGACAAAATGAGGAGAAACCTCTCCCCCCAGTGCCTAAGCGAGAGGCTGGATTTAAAAACCAAAGATATTTTCAAAATTGAACTGTCACAGAAGGATAATGCCAAGGCAGCCATCCAGGAGCTCCTCAAAGCTATCTTCTATGTCCTCAGCAACAATCTCACACAAACGACCTGGCAAGAGAGTTCCACAGAGAAATTTAAGAACGGCCTTCACTGGCAGATTGAGAACTTGGAGACGTGTTTGGATGCCGAGAGGGAGAAGGGGGAAAGAAGCCCTGGAAAATATAACCCCTTGGTCACCAGACTGAAACTGAAGAGATATTTCCAAGCAATAGACAATTTCCTCAAAGAGAAGCAATACAGCCAGTGCGCCTGGGAGATTATTTCTGTGGAACTGTCAAGGTGCTTTCAGTTTATTGACAAACTCACTAAAAAGCTCAGGTACTGTACTCCCTTTTTTTCCTAGAGAAGTTGAATTATTGTAACAGAACAGATGAAAAGATAAGGGCAATAATTCTGTAACAGAGCTACGACAAAGTTATGTTATCATTTTTCTGGAGTAGGCGGTATAATTTTTCAGTTAAGGTGATCACGTGCCCCTCGGGTAATAATGAGACCTGCAAACCAACCCTTAATCCCAAACGCTACCCATCAGCATAAGTTAACCAAATGGTAAACCCATTGGCTACAACACAAACCTTCCCTTCTGGGCAAACAAACATTATGAAAGGGAAAGCACACTACCTCTTCCCCACACTGAGAGCAAGCCTCACTCTGGGAGTAGCCTCCATCCTGGGCTCTCACCACGCTCTGCCACTTTGTTCTGGTTCAGGCACCTCCTCTCCCTGTGGACAGACTGCCCTGCTCTGGCTCTGGTCTGGGGTTTATATGCCCAGAGCCCTGCTCTCTTCTGGTCATGAGCCCTGTCAGATGACCTGCCCCAGGGGTGTTTATTAACCCCAGCCTTCCCAGCTGCCTTTGTCATGTTGACAAAGTGGCCCCTTCTGCTTCTCCATAACAGGGTAATGGTTCTCTGTTACAAAACTACAGCTTTCATGATAGCGAATTTCATAACAGGATCATAAATGTCAGGATTTCAGTTCTGATACCTGGGTAGAGGTGATAACATTACAGATACTGACAGGACATTCCTTTTCATTTCAGCACTTCAACTAATGTTATGAAAACATCTGAATGAAGTCCATCTCCACTGAAGTACCTCACAACTCGGCTGGATCACTCAGCAGTACCTTCTAAGATTCCTTACATCCAACTTGCAATCAGCATTTAGCCCAAAGCATATGTTACATTGTTCCATAATATTCCATTATTTCATAATGATAGCAAAAGATCTCATGTGCCAACAGTCCCAGAAGAGGCCAATGTCTCCTGTGCAGCATCCCCTCCTAACCTGCCTGGGACAGGAGTTCCACCAGACATTCCAACAAGGACTTCTTAACAGACTTCTAAGCAGGAGAGGCAGGTTTCGCTACAAGGCTAGGAAGCAAGATACACTTGCACTGAATTCATTTTTCTGTCACAACTAACGTTCCTCACTGTTACTGTACAAGTATTTATTCTCTTACTGCACTCCAAACATGTTTTTACCTCATTTTATGGGATGTGTAAGTGTATACAGGTGATGGCAACTTTTATTTATATCTATGCCTATTTATTAAGATACTTATGCCCTGGTTTTATTTATTTATTTATAACAGAGATATATATTTTTCCAAATAAAACAACACATTAAGCAAAATAGCCAAGTGCAGCAGCCATGATTTGTATAACTGATTTAAACCTGCAAAACCCCAAAAGAGCCCTCTAGTAAAGCTAACCTTAGCTTACAGTAGTGAAAGGTTGACCAGCTGGACCTGTAGGAATGCTCACTGAGTCTGTGCCATCAGTTGTGAAGGCCTACACCCAAAATACATTTGGAGTCTCCCACAAGACAGACAGAGCCCTGAAAATGTGTTGCAGGTGCAGCGAGCATCCTGCATGAGGGAGCAACTACCTGTGAGTGTATCTACATTACGATTTCAGTTATAAATTTGCTAGATTGCTATGAGACTGGACTACAGTGATGAACCCAAAGTCAATTATAAATGATAACATTTATAATTACTGACCCCGAATCCCTACAAAGCGACTTTTGGTTCATTTTTGAAGACTTTCATCTTGTTTGCGTCAGAAACAGCTGGTTGGTGAACGGGCAGTGTATAAGGGGAGGTAGGAGCTCCAGGAAGACAATCACTGGTCTTGCCTGAGCTTCTTAGACCCGTGGGGAGCCTTCTGCTCAAAAAAAGTTAAATCAAAGTCGTGGCAGATGAGAATGGAAGGACAACACACAGAGACAGACACAGACAGACACAGACGATCTTTATTGGTTGTTAGGAAGGCCCCAGCAGCTGGGAGGAATACTCTGGCACGTCTAGTTATATAATGGTGATTGTGCGTTGTATACAGGGTGCAAAGCCAAGTCCTCAAAAGTTGGGAAATAATGGAAATCAAGTTGCCTATGCAATCTTAATTCAGCTCCCATTGAGGAAAATATTTTGCTAAGGGATGGAAATGTGTAGCAGGACTGGTACCAAGGATATCTGTGAGCTATCACACCAAGTCTCTGTTATTTCAATCATGTCATAGTTCTGTGACTGCAAGGACTTCCAATTCTTCCTGCTTGTTTCCCAGGCTCCATACCTTTGTGTACAGACACATAAGGTAACTAGTTGATTGCCCTGATTTCTCAGGAAGAATGAAAACACCTCCCCTGTTGCCCCCTCCTGCTTGCTCTTCCTCCAGGTCACCCACTTCCCTCTTACCTCAGGGCTTTTTTCTCCATCTCCTGGGAAACCTAGTTTAAAGTCCTCCTCACTAGGTTAGTGAGGCTGTCTGTGAAGATGCTCTTCCCTCTCTTTATCAGGTGAATCCCATCTCTTCCCAGCTATCCTTCTTCTTGGAACATCATCCCATGGTTGAAGAAGCCAAAGCCGTGCTGGTGACACCACCTGCACTGCCAAGCATTGATCTGCAGGATACACCTGCGCCTGCCCAGGAGGATTGAAGAGAACACAACCTGAGCCCTAAAGCCCTTCACACTTGCACCCAAAGCTCTGTAGTCACTTTTGATCTGCTCATTGACTCGCTTGGCGGTATCATTGGTGCTCACATGGATGAGCAGCAGGAGTAGTACTCAGAGAGCCAGATGAATCTTGGTAATCCATTAATGACATCTTGGATCCAGGCTCCGAGCAAGCAGAAGACTTCCCGAGACAACAGGTCAGGTCAGGAGATGGATCCCTCCATCCCCCACAGAAGGGAGTCTTCAACCAGCACCACCCATTGCTGCTTCTTGGTGGTGGTCTGCTTGAACCTTCCAACCTTGGGGGGGAGGCCTGTCCTGTCCTCCTCCACCAATGGAATGTGCTCCTCCCCTTCTGTTGCTAGGGCTCTGTATCTATTCTCCAGATGAACTGCTGCAGGTAGAGATGATGATTTCTGCTTGCTGCTAGAGGTCACAAACTTCCAGCTTCTACCTTCCTCAGAGTTCGTGTCCTTTCCCTTCTCGAGTGCTGCCTCTGGCAGTTCTTCCTCCCCAGTCCTGGAGGTCTCCTCCAGCATTGAATCAATGAACTTCTCATGGCGGAGGATGCTTCGGAGCCTCCTCCTATAGCTCTCCTTCCTGTTCCCTGAGAGACAACACCAGGAGGCACCATTCACACCACAGGCACCCCCTGACCTGGCCATCCGTGGAAGGAACCTGCAAGCCACAGTTCCCACAGCGCAAAACCTGGACCTGAGTGGAAGCCTCCTTGGTGAGCGGTCCTGCCTGGACAGAAACCTCACAAGTGCAAGCAGAGGCATTGGCAGTGGCGCTGGCATTTAGATGTCCGCCAGCCATTTCCACAGGTCTCTCAATCTACCTCTCTTACTGCCCTTCTTCCAAGCACACCTACCCTAGCAACTTCACCTGGAAGCTGGCCTGGTTACTATTCCTTAGCCCCAAAGGGTTCCTTTTCCTCTGCTTCCTCATACCAACCTGAAAGGCTCTCCCCTCAAAGGGCAGGCGCAAGAGTGGGGGAAACAAAGTGACTTGTGAACTGACCAGTGAACCACCTGCAAACTGTTTGCCCTGTTTGCTGTCCCTGTTAGCTGTCTCCTTGGTCATCTGGGGAGTCTCCTTTTATACCAGGGGCGGACAAAATATAGCCCGTGGGCTGAACCTGTCCCACGGCAGGTCTTTATCTGGCCCATAGTGGGTCCCTTGGTCCTGCCTAGCCCAGGCACAGTCCAGCCATGGCACGTCCTGTCATGCCTTGGGCACACGGTGGAGCTGGGGTGATTCCACAGAGAGACTGCCTTTCTAGACAGCCCAGGTGGCAGGCGGCTCCTTCTGGCTGCTGCTGCTGCCGGCCCTAGCCCTGCAGTACTGGTGGGGACCCACGCTGTAAAACACTGACCCTATGCGCCTTGCACCTGCTCAGGGCTTGCCTGCCCAGGCTCAGCAGTGGCAGCATGGGACAAAAGCTGTTGCTCACCCGGGGAGAACGCAGCCCCTCCCCCTCCCACTGCCAGCGGTTCCCTGCTGCAGCCACATGGAGCCAGGCCAAACTGGGAACAGCAGTGGTGGCAGATGGGCTCCCCATCCCTGAACCTTCTTTTGGACTGATGGGGAAGACCCAGAGGGATCAGGCAGTGAGGAGGAACTTGCCCACTGCTGCCATTACCACCACCGCTGCTGCTACCCTGGGCTGATCCCAGCTGGAGTGGAGCAGGAGTGGCTTTTGAGCGCCACCCACCCATGGGGCAAACAGAGACAGTGCAGCAGCAGCAGATGGGGGAGGTAGGAATGGGAAGGGAGGGAGGTGCCCCTGAGCACAGAGGAGAAGGGAGAGATGGCTTCTTACCTAATTTGGGCACATTTAATAAAGTCCCTGGCTGCTGCTATGGCATGTTTGAAAGGGGGTGTGACCGTACCACTGCACCCCATCTGGATCCACCCCTGATTACACCTATCCCAAGGAGAAGTAAATCAGATCAAAGCAGAAACTCTCTCTCTTCATCACTGTGTCCTACTTGTGGCCTCTAACGTTGGCTACAAAGGACCAACTCACAGGATCATAATAAATTCTAGTTTATTGCATGGGATGTGAAGTTACCAATAAAATCATAAATGCAAACTTTGGGTTATGGGTGGTACTGGTCACCTTAGCACATACACATGCACTCACTCGTTCAAATGCATGTATAGTAGCTGCTGTAGTGATTGTGAGAGTACTGGTGTCAGTGTATCTACCTATCCGAGGCCCTGGAGTCTGCTGTTGATGGTCAGCTTCCTTCAAGGCGATGTCTTCTCTAGAAGGGGGTCGTCTGCTTGTCCTTCTGTCTCGGTAGGTCAGGTGCTGGATGAGAGGGTGCCGCTGAGGGTCACACTTCACTTCACTTCATTTTTATCCCTTTCTGGCAGACTTGTGTGATCCCCCAGCATCGTCTTGGCTACCCAATCCAGAGATTGCTGTCCCACGTGGGTCTTGAGTAGTACCTGACAGCTGTTAGTCATGGGGGTATCTGTCTGCTGGTACCTGAAGTTTCGGGAGTCCACCCTTGACTTATTGACTTAATGGCTGGATTGTCATGGGTTACAGGAATAGTCCATAGGGTGAGGGCTCAGTTCCAGGAATCATTTCTTTAGCTTGATTAGCTTAAAATGGAGTTCCTTTGGCTAGGCTATTGTCTGCTGGTGGTCATCATTCACTCGCATTCACTCAACAGATTTTATCACTTTACAGTTACAATTTCAATGCAGTTTTAACAATGGTCCGGGGTGTAACTTCATTCTACAGGGAGTACATTCCTTAAGAGTTTAAAAGTATAAAATATAAAATACAAAATGCCATGGTAAAGATGAGACAGATGAAATATGAAAATGCACTGTGAGAAATATATAAAAATGCAATGTGAAATAGTGAGGATCAAAGGCTACTGGGGCAGCAAGTGAGTTAGGTTAGCACAGGATATATTTACAGTCTTTGCAGTGGATATTTTAGTTCTTTTTTTTTTCTTAGTGACACTGAGCTTAATTGATAGGTAGATGTTGTTTCTAGATTTCTCCTACAGAAAGCCACTTCAGCTTTTTGGCTTGCTCTGAGCCTTGCCACACCCATGCAATGAGTGTGCTAGGACTCTGCTAATACTTAGAAGGAAAAAGAAATGCACAAAATGTAGAATTTTACAGGCAGGTTGCCACCTTTAGGAATCTCTCCTCCAAAAGTCCTTTTTCAAATATATAGGGAGGATGAAGAAGGCACAGGGAAATGTGGGGCCCCTGCAAGATGCGCTGGGCAATCTGGTGGTTGTGCCAGAGGAGAAGGCAGACCTCTTTAACAAATTCTTCACCTCTGTTTTCTTGTGCAGGGACTGGGACTCCCCCGCCGTGTTTCAAGATGGATTCGAGGGGAACGCCTCAAGACCTAAGGTTGAGGAAGACCGGGTTAGAGTGCTTCTGGAGGGGCTGGATGTGTTCAAGTCAGCAGGTCCAGATGCTCTCCACCCCAGGGTGGTGAGGGACCTAGCAGGGGTTATTGCTGGGCCCTTGGCACGGCTTTACGAGCACGCGTGGTGCTCAGGCCAGG